TCAAGGGTTAAAGTGACAAGAACTCCACCTGTCAATAATGACACTCTGCACTCTTCTTCAACATAACAACTGCCTTCATCAGAGAGTTTATGGGTGCAATGACATTTGCCTTTTTTGTTGTTCTGCTTTTATAGCAATATCCCTCAGTATATAGAGAGCGTTGCAGTTTTTATATAAAATAATAACTTATATTAACTCATATAACTTAATCAGTACACATCAGAGCATAATCTAGTTAAGTTAAAAGATAACTTACCAACAATAAGTTCAAATCTTGTTTATTACAAGAAAAACATCGATACAAAACATTAACTAAGGGATTATTTAATCTTTTGCACTTAAACATTTTTGACACACATACTGATTGTTTGTGTCATGTTATTATTTGTATAGTTATAGTGTCGAGTTTGGCTTTTATTTAAGTAAAAATACTGTTTCAGTTACATGGAATTTGTATGTGCAAGCAGCCAAAAGAGATTTTCCTTCCGCAAAGGACAGAAAAGGTTAAAACTAACCTGAAACAGGAAAAGCAAAGAGCTGTGATATGGGCGCAAAGGTCACATGAGGAGAGAGCAGTAATGTTTAAGGTTATCCCTACTTAAACCTGCTGCAGGTGTGCTTTAAACAAAAACTACACTGCTTACTCTATGAAGGCAGAAAAAAAAACTGAAAAAAGTGCCATGTATTGGATTTTAAATCTAAAATATTCAACTTTTTGTGTCATGTAGTAATATTAAAAACACGTGTTTGAGGGTTAATCTTCTCTGTAATGTACAATATAATGCACCTCCTGTGCTGCTAAACTAATAAAACATTACAATTATAATTATATACATAAATTATTGTTCTTTCTATCCACATGTTTTTGTAACACCTGGGTTAAACAATTTTAAGTGATGCTCGTGTTTGATGCTGATTAAAATTGATGGTCCTTTACAATCCGAACAGACTGATTTGTCCTTTTTCCCAAATTTTGAATGTTAACACTCTTCATCAGAGCTTGTGGCTTCTTGCAAGATGTCATATTGTATATTCTGTCATTTTCATCAGTCATTCAGTCAAGCTAAATGATCAGATTCCCTGCCAATAGTAGACCAATAAAATATTACCATTAGGCTAATACGTCTAAAAATGCCTAAAATTTAAAATGGAAACTTGTTGTGTATATTAAAATACAAAAAGGCAGGTATGACACATATTTCAGTATAATTGTTAAATGAATAACTCTACAGTTTCTCTTGATCAGTGTGTCTGAATAGTCGTCTGAGGCTACGACACCTGACCTGCAGAGCAACGACGTTCACCAAAAATGAGACTTTTTTTAAAAGTCAGCTTAAGACGTGTCTGTTTACTCGAGTACAATGTATTTGTAACCCGTTTGTACCAGTTCTGCTTAATGCATATTACATTTCTGCCTTTTCATTCCCGTATTTGTCGTAAATCCTCTTTTATTTATAATGCATATCTTTTTTCTTTTTTTTTTGCTTTAAATTAGAGCAGTTTTTTTATTTGTTCCATGTTCTTTGTTTTTTCTTTCATCTCCCATCGTCTTCTTTTTATTGGATTATTTCTCTGAAAAACACTCTGTGGCTGTCTATGAGCGTTATAGAAATAATTGTTGCGTGCATCCTTGGATAAATCTATAAAGCCATATCCTGTCAGTCACTGATAAAAATGTTTTTTGTTTTGTGTTGCATACTTCAGCTGCTCAGTTCTAGTCTGCTAGCTTTTGCTCAAATGTGACACCACGAAACACTTCAAAAGCTGACTTTTAATTTATTTATTTTGAAGCATATGATAAAATTTAGTGCGATGTGAGAAATGCGTTTAAACAACCCAAACTCGCTGTCACAACATAGCCCATTATAGGGCATCTAGTTTTCAGCCCAGGTAGAGCAGACACCATATTTAACCTCTGGATCTGTTAAGCGATTGGAAATATTTAAGATCTACAACATCCAAACTCAGACATTGGAATGTCTTTGAAGAATGAAGGCATTTAGATAAAGCTCAGAAGTTTTGCAAAACGACATTGACGTAGTTAAATTAGTTAAATTAGCCCCCCACACAAACACCCATTAGAAATAATGAATTAAAGAATTCACATTACAATCTAATTGCATCAAACAATTCTGGAAAGCAACATTTCACCAGCGGATTGCGATTCACTCAAATGGTGAATACACGCCTCAGATTAACATTTAAACTGGTTAATACAAACATATGTAAATCGTGTCAAGTTAAATTGTATTAAAACTACACTGTACATATTCGCTAAATGTATTGTATATGTCTAATATAGTCTGAATTTGATTTGTATCCAAAAGAACACGGCTAAACTCGCCACTAGAAAGGATAACGTGTATCTTTGTCATTTTGTAGTTCAAATCTGTATTGTAACATTATTGTTCAAGATTAAAAGAAGATATTCTTGAGAGGAAAAAAGAATGTAAAAATCCCATTTACAATAAATGTAACTTTATTGACAGTAAAAAGTTTTTTAGAATATCGAGGGGCGCGCATTTGTAACTGCAAGAACATCTTTGAAAGCAACATGACTTTTTTTTTTTAAATAATGAGGCAGTTGTACATCTTGAACTTTGAGGTAAAGTGTTTTGTCATGTTACATCATTCACAAAATATTGTATAACATTGAGTCCACACAAGGAGACAAAAACCCATGCCTCACTTTCACTTCTTGAAATTACTTCACATTTCAAAAATAATTCACAATTTAGATAAAAGCAGAAAATGACAAGCACACATGCTATATTCCATTCACACGCACACACACGTTTCTCTACTTATCAAACCAAGTGCATTTTTAGATTTACTTTTTTTCTCAAACAGTTTCAAGTACATTTTGCTTGCTATTAAAGGAAATCAAGTTAAAACTATGAAGCAGCAAACCCACAATAACAAGTAAGAATACTGAGTTTGGTCTCATTCATGTTCCCAATATTAACATTGTCAGATAACTCACCATACTGTAGCAATAAGGTATTTGGGTGCTATAACGAAGCAGGAGGTAACATTTCATGGACTTGAGGAATATGCTGGATAAGTTTTGGAATATAGCTGATTAAATACACCAAGGCTGAAACAAACAACACTAAATAGATAACCACAAGTGACAACTGAACATATTCAAAGTGATTCATTGTTAATTATTTTTTAAATAATTTATTAACTCACTTATATTATGGAAACTGTCTAAAATCTCAGCTTTAACCGCTGAGTGCGAAACCACAAAAGGATGGTTTTAGTTGAACTGATATTTAATTATCAGTCACACAATGCAGCAAACTTGAGTGCAGACCGCTGTAGGACTCTGTAGAAGGCCGGCTTCGTTAGAAATATACTGGCGTTGCAAATTAGAGGACCAGTTGTTGTGAGTAATATGCAATTCATCAGTGCAGTCGAACAATCAAGAAAAAAAACTGTAAAAGCCATCAAGTGCTTCAGCAAAGATGTTCATATATAAGCAGGGAACCTAAAAGTGCAATCCTGTATAGGTATAGCACCCTGGGCTATCTCAGTCGGGCTCTTAATGTACACTGCATGGCTCATGGTCTGATCTGCACCAGTCTTCTAAGGCTCACTTTAAAATCCAAAGCCAACTACTTTTTAGCTATAATTCAGCCCTGAACTGCCATTTTTGAGTTCATTTCCTCTTCGATTTTCCTTTGAGTTGACTCCACAAACTGTTAAAACCATGCTGTAAACAATATGTATTCCTCCAGCAGCGCACCACTGTAGGAGTTAAGGCAATCCCTTTCTGTGCTTTGTCTGTGACCAAAGCTCCTCCTGAACATAGAGGCACAAAGCTCTCAGTGCATATTAAGCGTACCTGACACAATTCACAAAATACCCTCCGCAGCAACAAAAATGAAGCTCTTAGTGCACACTAAGCAATATATTTCTTAAAATGTACATGCCATGTTTTTCTTAACCGCATCTCCTAAAAGTGCTAACTACTCATAATCACTTAGGAAAAGATGGCTAGTCAAGATTTTTGAGCACCAGACCCCCCTAATTTTTTTTTTCACTTAAGAGGAAATCCCCAAAGAAGGCACTTTTAAAGCAAAACCAGGGGTTTTGCAGTATGATTTGATATGGGAGTGCAATCAATCGTAATTTGTCTCTGCTAAACTTTGACTGGTGCAGTACTAAGTTTCTTCACTCGCGTCTGCCTTGGTACAATAAATTCTCTTACAATAAAATCACACAGGATTTAAAGCAACTGATCTGGTGCAGAACAAACGTGAGCCAACAACTTTATAGAGCAGCAGTCACCTCTCCTCATCCTGCCAGCGTCCCCTCTCCTCAGCCCACCTGGTGCTCTCCACGGCTGATGTGTGATGAGAACTCGTAGCGGTCCTGGCTGCGGTGGCCACAGATGTTGCACTCGAATGGCTGGCGGAAGCCGTGGCAGCCCATGTGGATGGTAAACATGACATGGTCCAGAAAGAGGATGCGGCAATGCCGACAGTGGAAGGAGCGCACCTGCCTGCCATCCCGGTCTAACACCTGCACAGTGTCCCTGGAAGAAATGGGCGAGCCAGGGCTCCTCTTTACTATGGTGGGGGGCACAGGACACGCTCTCTCCCACTCTGGGTCCAAGTCTTTGGCCTGGCTGGGGCTGGAAGTGGGATGGCTGCGGGGCAGTGCTGAGGTTTGGTAGTGGAGGTGGTGGTTGTTGGAGGTACTTGTCGGGGCAGCAGCCCTTGTGCTCTGCTCTTCTGCTGTGCTCTCTGTGTCTGTGGAGTCGGGGCAGCCGTTGGGTGAGGTGGTGTGGCTGTGTGCTGTTGGCTGGCCATCGCGGCCTTCACCTGCCTCCCGCACAGCCAGGCCAAGAGACATTGGTGCCAGCCCACCTCCGCCATGGGCCCGAGGGCCATGAGGGGTCACGTTGCTGCCGATGGAACCCATGACTGTGCGGAGCTCAGACAGGAAGGTGGGATGGAGCTGAGACAGAGCAGGCGACTCGTGGTTCTCACCTTTAACCCTGGCACAGTGTAGCTGTGAACCGGCCAGCACAGTTGAGTTGCCAACAGACTGTGAAGTCATGAGGTCTCCCTCTTTTTCAGAGCCAGACGACAATTCGTAAGGTGCTTCGAGTGGGTCAAGGTGCATGTGCTTTTCGCCTATGAAAAGAAGAAATATCGGTTGAAGCAAAGCGTGCCCCAAATTGTTAAAAAAAAGATATTTGACCAGCTGTCTTGGCACAACTGAATCCCAGTGTCTCCATTTGGCACAAGGATGTAAAACTGCTTAGCTCTTATGAAGCTAAAAATATATGTCACTTGTACTGTATAACATAACAAAGATATCAAACAGAATAAGAATAGGCTTACTAATATATTTCTACTTCTACTTCACTCAAAAAAACTCACCCAAAAACTTCTGTGGCGTTGACCTCTTACGTTTCGTGATGCTTATAGCCAGTCGATCCACAAACTGGATTTTGTCATTGGTTGGCTGGAGTTCAGGTTTAATAGCTGTCCCCATATTTACTGACTCTTCACCTACGAACAGAAAACATCAGTCAAACATTAATCTATTGCCAAATTATGTGTAAGCTGGCATTTACAATATGCATGAAGTCAGAAATGAGTTAGTTTTATGTAACAATAGTGAGTTTTATGTTATATGCCATGTATTACCCTTTGCTGTCTGTGTGTTGACAACCGCCTTTTGGTCCAGACTCTTTTGATAAGTATGGCAGCGCTCCAGATGTTCCTCCAGTGTGCTTTGTTGCTTGTAGCTGCGGCTACAGTAGCTGCACTTGAAAGGTTTTCCCACCGTCGGAGAAGGAACTGTAATTCAAAGAAAAAAACATTATATTGATTTCATCTAGAATAGCTAATAAGTTGCCATAGCTGGTGGAACTTGTTGAATAAATATAGGACTAATTGTTGTTTATTTATTTATAGTTGGGGGAATTTTTTTGAATGAAAAAAAGGTTTGGATTTCCCCCCTGACTAGCAATTCCTGAAACTGACCTATGTTACTTGACAGAAAAAAACGCCTAAACCTTTACCGCAAGGTTCCACCCTAGTAAGCTGTCGGAAAGACTGACGTCAATTCACTGAAATCCAGTTTGTAATCATCTTTTCTTTGAAAATGAACCTTTTGAGACCTGAGGAGAGCGACCAAGACCTACTGTAACAAGACTGTACTTGAACACCTGTGAATATCTGTTCAAGAGCACCAGCAGGATTTCCTGTTTTGATACTGTTAAATGTCATATTCTGTCATGTGTTTTACAGAAAACTCTCATAAAGACCTATTTCCTCTGAGATAGAAAGAAGGGGGAAATGGACCTTTCTAATAGAGCTCCACTTTTACTGCTTACCTCTGTGTCACACATTGCACGTGTTCACGCTATGGAATCGTATTACTTTGCAGCAACAATAACTAAACAAGTACATTTGTGAAAAAATATCTCCATGGACTGTATATGATGTGTTAGGTGCTGTTGTATGGCTATAAAAGCCCAGAGCTCTCAGCTGATTCTGGCTGTTCTCCATGCTATCCACCAGAGTTGTCTGGCCAGATTATGTATGTAGATTCCAAACTGTCCATATGTGATGTGAGTGTAGCACTTGACAATCTGGCTCAAGTGTTAAAGAAGAATAATTTTGCTGTTTGGGAGGTCACTCATTTACCTGCATGTGTGCGCAGATGTCCAGCCAGTGCATCTCTCCGACGGCAAGCGTAATTGCAAACGGGACATTTGAAAGGCTTCTCTCCTGAATGCAATTTAATGTGGCGCAACAGGTTTCCCTTCTGGGTGAAGGAAGCTCCACACTGGTTACACTGGAATGGTCGCTCCCCTGTGAACACATGGATGGAAAGAGGATGTGAGACGCAAATCCCACTGGGCATTGCACTCAACTGATACTTGTCTTTCATTTATTTAAAAACTGCCTTGCTGGGGGGGGGGCGGGGGGGGTCCTTCTTTTTTTTCTTACCTGTGTGGCTACGCTTGTGCACCATCAGCACGTTAGGTCCAATGCAGATCATCCCGCACACCTCACACTGGAGCTTCCCATTGGGCAACCTGATAGGTCCTGGTGAAGCCGAATTTGGACTGGCCATCTCACTGTATATGCTTGCTAGGTCTCTTCCAGCCCCAGCGAACTCTGCACTGGCTTCTTCCATGGGGTCTCCCTGGTCATTATTCCCGCCGTCGATCCTCACAGCCTCTTTCTTCTCTGGCTGTGGAGCGCCATCACTGCACAACTCAACCTTGATGGAGTTTGCTTTGTAAAGAGAGAAGGAGAGGAAGAGATATATATTTACTTACTTATGTAACATGAAAAAGGTATTCTATACAACCGTATGGCTGCAATGTAACAAAGGAATGATAACTAACCACTAAGGGAGCGGTGTGGTGAGGACTGCTGACTGTTTGGAGATCTCGCAGAAGGGCCCTGCAGCCCGCCATAAAAATCCTGTTCTGTTGATGATTCTCCTCCATTACCTGAAATACAAATATGCCCACGTTATTAAAGTAAACATGAAAGTCTGTAGACAGCACACACCAGCGTACAGTAGTTTTTCCTTTATATCTACAATTACCTTGTGTGTATGAGCGTCCATTGCAGTCATCAGCATTCATTCTCTCACCAGATGCCTACAGAAATACAGACTGTAAATACTATGGTTTGCCATTCATAGTTATACTTTCTGAATCAAACAGACTGAAATTGCACTCCTGTAAAAATGCTGTATCACACCTTGGATAATTATATAAAATGTACTTTTACACAACAGCCTGTTGCTTCAAGAATATGGTTCAAAAATAAATAAATAAATGTATGCTTTCTCTAATAAGTTCACTTAAAAAAATGACAAAGTATTATAGTAAACTTCAGGTCTCCCCTACGATGTCTGTATCCTTTCGATTCTTCTCCGCCAAGCAAATGACTATGAGAGGCTCCACATTTATGGCCAAGAGAGCTGAAGGAGGAGTTAAAGCTCGCAGAAGTAGAGAGGATAGCTGCCGAGGCTTTAACTATGAGGCATTCCAGTGTGCAACCACAACAAGACTATGTGCCTGATTTGATACTAACAGTGCACTGTATGTATATTAGATTACATTACAATGTTGAAGTTATATTGCATTATGCTGTATTACATTACATTATGTATGAGATACAACATAGTTACAATATTATTTTTTATTGATGGATCAAGTTTGTCAATTTGCACTTATTGTTTTTATTATGATGATGATGATGATGATGATGCAGTAGGCTGAATCTATGCCAGGCCTCCATAAAACGATTGTTACACAGCAAATAAAGTGAGGTATGCAGACTACACCAAGACCAGACTACACAGGCGTTGCTGAGTTACAGCGTCTTCAGACATACAGTAGCCTGTGCTCACTGTCATTGACCAGAATAGGCGATGCTGTAACGATGAACACAATTTCAAAGACGAGATAAGCAAAAGCACAAGACGTTCAAGGCTGCACCTTTTGCTCAAATGGATGACAGCAGTGGACAGAGGAGACTTTGGAGTGATCGTGGAGGGAGGGGGGCGGAGACAACACATCACAGGGAAAAAAAATTAATATCCTGTCATTGGCCGCGCATGGGGAGCAACAGGCGCTGATGCAGCCGGGAGACGCGCCAGTCACACCAGGGCACGGCGATTAAAAAAAACAAAAAAGAAATAAAAGAAAAAGAATAATAGAAAAAAATAAGGGACGCGCACCATTGCCGCCCCTTGCTTGACAAACCTTGCTGCCCCAACCCGAGCGACTATGTGCAATAAAAGATATTCCTGCATTTACAAATAACTGCCATGGCTCTCCACACGCAGGGTAGCTACTTGTTTTAGCTGCTCGCTGGATTTGCTTAGTTCTGACAACAATCGGCTCCCGGACGGTCGAGACAACAACGAGACACAACGGCAATTTGTTGCAAGAGTTGCGATTGTCCACATCCTCCGCATGAACGCGGCTGTCATCCAACACTGAGCACGTCAAAACTGGCCTGGGCTATACAATGTTTCTCATGAGCCGTTGCTATGGCACCCGACCACACGACAAATGGCATTCACCCTACCAACTACTAAAAAACATGCCGTACCTCCAAATTAACACCGACGGATGGTCTTACCAAGAGCCGCAGCGGAGTCCACGAGCCTCTTCCTTACCTGGCGACCGATCGGTGTTTTCCTTTAATTGTCTGAATAGCTGTTTGTTTTCCCAGGCGGCGACAGCATCTCCGGGATTTTTTTCTTTTTTTTTCTTTCTTTCTTTTTTTTTTTTACCTGGGAATCGGAATCCCAAACAACTTCCGGGCCCATGCTGGGATACAGACCAAATAATTGTACAACAGAGCTCCTGAGTCGGTGATTGCCGAATTCATCGATGCGTGTCTTCTTTGCGGAGTTGTGGTCATAATGAGGGTGAAATGTGTGCTTTTAGATCATGTCGGACTCTGCACCGCAAATTGCTGCTGCGCATGAATATATTTTGTGAAATACTTGATGCAATACGCTGAGTGACCCTCAAATGTTTAATAAAAAACAAAAAATGGCATATGTAAATATACAGTGCGCCTGTATAAACACTACATGTACACGCGTCTTACAGAAAGCAAGCAGATATTAAAATAAAAGCAGGTGAAAATTGTTATCATGAGGTAGTTTACAATTACACTTCATCTTTAGCCCCAGGAGGTGGCAGCAAACTGCTGCATGGTCCAGAATTGAATAATGGACTGGACAGCTGTGAAACACACAGTCGATAAGTGTTATAAACCACAAAGTACAAGTGTCTGTGCGTGCCCTTGATTTATTTTTTCATGAACAATAAAAAATAATGACAACGCAAGCAAGCCCTTAATGAACAAAAGACAACTAATTGAATCGATTGGGCCTGTGCCAACGTAGAAGGACCTCATAAGCCTCCTGGAGCTTCACAAATATTTCCTCAGCATCCTTGCTGGGGTTGTGGTCCGGATGCCACTTCTTGGCCAGCTCCCTATAACTTCGGGATATCTCCTCAAGAGAGGCCTCTGCTCCCAGAGACAATATCTGCAACATAAATACAATAAATCCAGATGAAACGGGCTAAATGGCAAGCAGAAAATGTAGACCTATTTACAGCATGCATTTCTTACCTTCAGTGCCTCTTTCTCTCTCTCAGTGTATTCTTTGAGCAGTATTTCTAGCACCTTCCTCCAGGCATCTTCATAGTACCCTCCTCCAGTAAGCACACACAATATCCGATATGGCATTAAAAGAAGGTACTCCAACACACTTCTGAGCCAAGGCAGGAACCATAAAATATCCAGCAGTGCTGCTATAGAGTCAGACAGATAGTACAGGGTGGCTGTGGTGTTGTGGAAAATACAGTAAGCCAGCGGGGCAGAGAAGGCCAGCCAACCTAGACCGATCCTATAAAGCCGTGGACCTGAGGTTGGAACAAAAAATATTTAACTTCAGGAAGCCACTTAAAACTGAATCAGAATGATTATTATCGACGTGCATAGTAAAATCATCCAATCCAAACCAGCCCACCTAATTTCTGTTTGCTCCCAGGTGTCCGTGGAGGTTTGAACGTGCGGTGCTTTGCAGCAGTGACACTGGCAGCCAAGCTTATAGGAAGAGGAGATAATGTGCTGCCATAGAATAGCAGGGAGGTTGCGAGACAAGAAGTCAAAGTCTTTTGGAGATCGGATGTCTGCTGGCCAACATTGGACACCAGATGCACCCCTGCACCCACACATAAAGGCAACACAATCAAGTAGAAGAAACTGAGGGAGTTCAGTCCTATCATGGCCACAGTGCCAAAGTAGACTCCAACACACACCTGTCCTGCAAATCTGACAGGACTCACAGGAGGAGGGATTGAGGTGGGAGGCCTTTTTCTCTCTTTATTTCCTTCTTGATTGGCCTCACTAACATAAGCAGGGATGCGTATAAATTCCCTGACCCACCCAAATCCAAATCCTCCTAGTGTTAGCATCCATAGCAGAGCATGGGTGTCTCTACCTAAGTACAAATGGTGAAGGCCCAAAGGTCCACCTACTGCCCACAGGGTGTAGGCAACAATTATACTTTTTACCATGAGGCCTCAGAAGATTACCTCCTGTACAGGTGAATATTAGTCATCCTTGATACATACCTGCAATAGAGTAACAAAAAGTGTTAGTTATACCTCCAAACCTCCATCAGTGTTTTATAATTATATTATACTTTAATCAAATAATTAAAATGGAAATGTTCAGCTTATAATTTATTGGCTTTGATCTTTAATCCCATGCACTTACATCGCCTGCTAACATTTTATTTATTTATTTAGTTTCATAACTATACTGTGCACCCTCCTCTGTGATCTGTCTGTTGGTCTTTGCCAGGACACTCAGATTTTTAATCTCTGCCATCCACTTCCCTGGTTAAATAATATATTATATAAGGGGGATTTATCTTAGCTCATGCTGTGTATTGTTAGTTTTACTCAACTCATTATGTGATCCAAAACATACCATTTTTGACAAAGAGTGCAACTATCTTTTCTGATCGATCGAAGATATTTGCTGTTCTTATACATCCAAATTGTATTTTAAAAAAGAGTTTGTTACTTACTGAGCCCATAATTTCAAATCCTTATCCAGAGAAATCCTTTTCCAGTGCTTTCCGTAGTTGAAGTTGCTGCATGTTGTTGCAATAGTTGGACTTTGGATCATGACAATGGGATTGCGCAGCGGCCTGAGTGCACAAAGCACATCAACACGAGCCTGTAATCATTTAAACTGATAAGACGAGTAAAAAGACTAAAAGCGACATTTATGAAGAAAAAAGGACACTGTTGACAATGCTTCAAAGAGGGCTTAAGTTTATTTTGTAAGGAAAATAAGGACATAGCCTTAGGCCTGTATGCTAAACTTCAGCATAGGATAAGAGTATAATCCTGCTCCCCAGTGAAGCCTAAAACAACTTCACTTTTTCTGTACAATTTTACTTAAAGGTGTATAATATAAGCTTAAAGTATAAAACTCAAGTTATATCGTATTTTTTTTAAATCAAAGCAAAGCACTTTTATTTTGTAAAGTGATATTCATTATCATATAAGCTAAAATATGAGATAAATATTATTAATACATCAGTAATACTTAGCATTATGCCTGATTATGAGGCTAACTGTATGTGATATAAGTAGTATCCTTGTGTGTGGGAATATATTTGTTAATAATAATAATTTAGTCCAGACAGAAATAAAGGTTTAAAACTTATTAAACTTTTGCCTATGATGGTATTGTTTAGCCTTCCATCAAAGAATTATCACCAGAACTATAATAGGGGAACAACTTGCTTGATGTTCAATTTCCTCAAGAATAAAAACATTTTGTTTTGGAAAATGGCCAAAAATATAAAAAACAAAATACACATACTTCAGTGATGTAACCTAACAAAGGCTCCTTACCTTAACTATATACTGACCAGGGGTATTTATGTGTGCAGAACCCCAGTGACCACTTATGAGCCAAGAAAAACCCCAATTGACCCTGATATTAATACCCCAATAGTCAGATAATGTTTGATAATATATTAGGCACACCAATCTAAAACAACCACGTGCATCTGAAATAAACCTAGTTTTCATTAAGGTCATATTCCGTGTCGTTAAAGGTGTCTAGGAGAGGAGAGGAGAGGAGATGATTCTCATTTAATTTTTTAATTTTTGTACGTTCTGTGCACCCCATTTATATCAGTGAGGGTAAGTTAATGCGACCAGCATCTCTCTAAATTAGTTTTAGCCAAGTGTAGCTACCTGTTCAGTCAGTGGGTGTGGACCACACGCATACCTGGAAAGTAGGCTGGGTCCACATTAATATTTCAAATCGCTGGACTGCCAAAACAATAAGCTCCCGTGGCCCCGCCCCCTGCGACCCCTCCTTTGCTGGGCTTTCGTCGGAGCTGAGCAGCCTTGCAGCAGCAGGTTAGCTCTTTAAAACCGAGCGAGCTCTGCTAGCTACACATCAACAGCATATCCAGAGAAGATGCGAAGTCGCTCAACTTTTTAACTATTCCACCCGCCTCCAGCGCTTTTAAGCCTGAGGACACTGTTATGGTTTCGGAGAATGGAAACGGACGACGTGTCGGTTAGAGAGCAACTTTTCCACAACCGTGTCCGGGAGACTATAGTAAGTAACGCCGAACCAACCCAACCGTCAGTTACTATGCTTATGAGCCCCCCGCAAACGTCGCATCACTGTAAGAAAGTCGCCTCAGTTAACGCTGTTTATTTCACTTTACCTAGCGGTAGCACGACTTTTGTTTCTCAGCTGTAGACTGCACGTCTTACTTTCTCAAGCGATAACAAGTTTGAAGTCACTTAAAAAAGTGATGATAACGATTGAAATGTGCTCGCTCCCTGGGCTAGCTTAACCCATGTTCAAACTTTAACTGTTGCACGGATACAGCTGGTGAGCAGGCAGCAGAGAGGCACAGCATTTTGTTACTGTTGATGCTCTTTTTTTCCCCTCTGCTGTTTTATCGCAGTTTTGTATAATAGCAACAGCAACTATTTGAACCTTAGACTCGGTTCAGTTACAGCAAAGCACACGGCTCCTGACCTTTAACCCTCACATCACATCAGACGGGAGCCCGACTACTGAGATTGGAGATTGCTGAACCAGCCTATCATAAAAGCATCGTCAGGCAACACTTTATCACCTTCGTATCTCAGCATCAGGAGTCGATTCATCAACTTGGTTTGCTTTGCTCAGCTCCAGGTAGTTCGTTCTGGTTTGCAGAAGATCATGAGGTGAAATAAATGTGAGGTTTTAAGGAACAACGTGTGTGTGTGTGTGTGTGTGTGTGTGTGTGTGTGTGTGTGTGTGTGTGTAGATGAGTTGTATAATATGAAAAATAGTGATTCCTGTGGGAGATTGAGTCACTGCAGCAGCAAAGAAATCAGAACAGGGCTTACTGAATCCAAAAGAACATACATTAAGATTGTGATCAGTTAGACTGCTTTTATTTGTATGACGAGTCAAATTCTTGCTTTTAACTGTGAAACCTCTAAAGAATGTAGGTTTTTTTCCCAACAGACTAGGAAACCCCCCACCCCCCCTTTTTTTTTAAGTGGCAGGCTGAGATATTTGCACATTAGGGCTGTTGGTGGCTTTTTTGTCTGCCCACATTAGGTATCAGAAGCAAGATTACATCCTCTGGAAAATATCACTTAAAATAGCATTCTACATTTGGTAGGCGGTATATATTTTCAGTGATAGATAGGATGCAGTTATTAATAAACCAAAACCAAATGAACAGCAAATAAAGTGCTTGCATTTCTTCTAATGCCCTTGTTTTGTCATTGTCCCTTTCAAATACCTAATGCTATTAGCAAGTGGCAAGTCTCAAGTCTCCAGCTTACCTCCTCATCACAGTACTTCCTCTCAGGCTTGTCAGCTGCCCCAGCACCTCTGGTTATTAATGGCTTTAGGCCAAGCCTATCTTTAATCAGCTTATTTTAAAGTCATAAACCTGTGGCAGAAGTGCATGTATGCTAGACCGAGAATAATATTTTGCACTAACAAAAAAGGCTGGATGAGACATTTTTTTTAAAAGTAGAAGAGCAACTCTTTGATATCCAAAAATAATTAAATAAAAATAATTCCTTCCATCCATCTTTTTCCACTTATCCAAGTCGGGGTTTCAGTTGAGCTGAAGCCCATCCCAGCTGTCATATGGTGAGAGGTAGAGCTAACTATTTACACTCATGGCCAGTTTACAGTCACCATTCAACCTAACAGGTATGTCTCTGGACTGTGGAGGGAAACGCACACAGGTAGAACAGAGTCCACAGCCAATGGATTCGAACCCAGCACCATCTTGCTTTGAGATGATGATGCCAACCATCGCACCACCATGCTGCCATTTTACTGCATTGTATTTGTTTTAGTTATCAGTTAATCTGGTGATAATTTTTTTACAGTTGTTTAGCCTATAATGAAATATTCCAAAAGGTCTTTGAGAAGCTAAACTGACTTATATTTGCTTTAAAATAACTGAATGGCTATCAGAACAGCTGCTGACTGAGTTTCTGTGGATAAACTAATGGTTTACTTGGGTAATTATTGTAACTCTTATTCATAAATAATATAATAATAGATATGCGTCAATTGTGAGATGCCAAAAACTAAACAAAAGAAAACAGTGTTTTAAATTCTTTCAGTCTTTTACAGTTCTGTATTTGAAGCTAGTGTAAAACTGATGTTAGACTACAAACATCAGCCACTGATATTTCTAAATGTCTGTTTATTTACCAACAGGCCAGAGGCAGTCAACGAGGCGTGTATCATCCAATAGAGATGTTTTTATAACAACATGTCCTTAGCCGACGCATATAAATGCTGGTTTAGCTACTGAGAATGCTCTCGTATTAGATATCCAAAACATGCAAGCAGCTGTACCATTAGTGCTTCTTTTTTGATTCTGAGGAAATGTGATGGAAAAATAATGCACGTATCAATGCACAGGGTAGATACATTTTTCCATAGGTGCATGACAAAGATATGCTATAAAGGCTATTTCTATATGCAACAAACATGCTTGCAGCTATTTGCCTGTCATGAGAACAGATGAGAGTAGTTTAATAATAATAATCAGTTAGATATCTTGTTGGAGTGAAGACAAGTGGTAAAATTCTGTGCTTGACTTAAATGGGGGGGGGGACGGTATTTATGTGAAGTATGACACTTTCTGGCTTCTGGTCAGAAGCCTCCCAGTTGGACCAGTTGGTACCGGATTCCTAAAAGTCGACAGTAATTCCAAACAAATTCTAATTCGATGAAATGTACTATACCTGTTTGGCCAAAGGCATAATAAACAGTTAATAATCAGTGGGAAAGTGCGATTACAGCCAAGTGCATGTCTTCACTTGAGCTGATTGTGTTCTTGTAAATCATCTTGGGTATCAGCAGATAGTAGAAAATTGAAGCGCAGAGAGCGTAGCTGGGCTGTGGGGGTAAACAGCCGAGCTAGGAGTGCTCATCCACACCCTGAGCCTGGTCGGATCAAGAAGGATCAGTGTCTAGCACGATAAAAGGTCATGATGATAAAATCTTGCAGTAGAGAACTGGAACAGCCAGCATCAGCACACACTGATATCTATTCCCCGCTTAGAAAAGAGCACTGTAATATTTGTATAATACCTGAGTCTCAGGCGCTCTGACTGAAAACTATAATAGCTCAGAACTGATGGGTTTGAGTCTTAGGAGTGACTTTCTGCAGTACTTTTGAGAGAAGGAAAACAGAGGACAATGTGTTTATTTCCTGATGGATCATACCCC